AGAGAGGTATTGCCAGGCGGCGCGCACCGCATGAACGTCCAGTGGCATGTCTCAAACACTCGGCATGCTCGTAGCTGTGACGCGAGGTGGTAGTATCGTCGGAAACGAGAAAATTGTCCGTCGTGTACGAGAAACGTGAAAAATCTGGGATACATCGTTCGCAGAGAACGAGAAGTTATTCCCAGACTGTGAAGATACGAAAGGTAAGAGACTCGTCTCCGTTTCACCGATCCGACCGGGAGATTGTAGCAGCGGACAGTTCGCGGTATCGTCCTCGCCGTCGTCGTCGATCGCGAGTGCCAAGTCAAACGGGAACGCGAGAGTACGACGTACAGGAGGGAAAGAAAAAGGAGAAAGAAAACGGTAAAAGAGAGAGAGAGAGAGAGGGAGACTCCTCTCTCATGCGCGCCGAGAGGCGAGAGCGAGGGCAGCGTCGAGTTCCCACATTCCTGCGTGCGAAAAACGTCAAGATCCGCTGCTCGGCATTAGCATTACAGCGGCGGCTAATGCAAGGAGGAAAAGAGAACACGGTGAAACGTGGTTCGCCGCTGGTGTACGGTGGTATACGGAGCCGGCGTTGAACGCGTTGAGCGCGCGTCGCTCGAAACGGGTCGCGGGCCGTTCCGCCTTCGTCTTCGTCGTCGTCGTCGTCGCCGCCGCCGTCGCCACCACCGCCACCGACCACAGAGTACAGACAGCCGCAGCCCGCAGTCGCTATAGTGTTCGCCGCCGGAGAGCGGCCGTCGAGCCTGCTGTGAATCCCCGCGTCAGTCAGGTTATCGGACGATTACGATTGTCGATTACCGGTGCGTGTAGCGCGCCAGTTGCTGACTCGAGCGCGTGCCGTTCAGTGCCGTTCGGTGCGAACACTGCGAACGGCTGGACCTTGAAGGTGTCGGTGTCACTCCGAAGGGAAGGGATAGGAGGAAGGATACTCCAATACTATTCCGGAGGGGTGAGAAACGTGTGACGATACAACGTATGTCTTCGTCGTCGCGGTCATTTCATTCGTCGTTCGTGTGAAGGATATAACAACACGAGTGTCCGGGAAATTTTGACGAAAGGTGTTCTGTTTTTGTTTGTTCTCTTTCATTTTCCTCTGTTGTGTTTAAAAGAGAGTTTCGAAGGAACGAGCGGGAAGATCGTGCCGCGAGATTCGAGAATCGGGAGACTGTGCGGCGCGGCGCGAAAAAGAGATTCGTGTGTCGCGAGTGTGTCGAGAGAGAGAGAGAACGAGGGAAGAAAGAGTAAATAAATAAATAAATAAATAAATAAATATAAATAAACCAAAAATAAATAAAGAAGAAGGGTGAGATTGCTGCCGGTGATTGGTGGTGGTGGTGATGGTACGCCAAGTGCACCTGATCGATGCACCCGTGCGAGGGCAACACCACGACACCGTCGCCGTCACCGTCGCTCGCCGCCTCGGGCTGCTCCTCGGCGGCTGGCTGTTAACGGTGGAATTCCGCTCGAGAGGAATCTGAAAGGCGGGGACTCTGACGTCACTCCGCTCATGATAATGAGGTATTCATGATGGCGGAGTAGTGCGCGCTAGTAAGAAAGAAAGAGACAGAGACAGAGAGAAAGAGAGAGAGAGAGAGAACGCGCGTACACATATGCGAGTGTACGCTCCTGATCACGCTTCTGTGTTCCCTCAGTGTGTGTTACAATACATTTGAAAAACCCCGTCCACCTGCCCTTCTACGGCCGGGTCGACCGTCCTCTCGTTCCTTCTCTATCCTTACCCCTCCTCCTCTCTCTTCATCCTACGCTCCCGCGTCTACCTGTCTCGTTCTCTCACCGTCACGTCGCGACCGACGTCCGTCGTGCGAGCGTGCCCGCGTGCCGTATATGCGGCCGGAGAAGCGTGAGCGTGCGCTCGCGTCCGCGCGCACAGATATGCGCCCGTCGACCGCCACCGCACGACGATAGAGAGAGAGAGAGGTTTTGGATGGATTTAGAGCGCAGTGAAATATGCCCAGGAGACGGAATGGGGAGATACCGCTTCCGGACGGTTGGGATGTCGCCCATGACTTCGACGGGAAGGTGTACTTCATCGATCACAACACGCGGAAGACTACGTGGATCGATCCACGAGATAGGTACGTAAGAGAAAAAGAGGGGCTCTTCTTCTCCCTATACGAATATGACCGAAATAAGCAGACGGAATAAATTCTCGGCAACAGGTCGCCGCGCCGATCCCTCGTGTTTAGAGTTACCATGTATGAATCACGAGAAAAGAATACGTACGAGTATGTCTATACTTTTCAAAGAAACGTGAAGGAGGTGATACTATTCTTTTTATTTATTAAATATAGTAGGTAGGTATTTGACAAAATGAAATTTCTAGAAGATCATTTTTATGGCAATTCTTAATATGTTAAATAAGAATATCTAAAATTTTAATTAATGAAGTTTTACGACTCATCAAAAAAAGTCCAGTTTTTAATGTTTCTGTCTAATGTTCGTGTCTGTCAATGTAGATTTAGTCTCGGTTCAACTTGCTCTTCATCTTTTTTTAATTCTTGGAACTAGAAAAAGATGACCTAGTTGAACGAAGATTAAAATTAAACTATTTAGACCTAGTTCCATTATGTAAGATTAACTTTAATCTCGACTTAATTTATCGTTATCTTTATTTAAATTCTTAAAATTAGAAAAAAAAGATAAAGAGTAAATTGAGTTGAGATTAAAGGAGAATGTTAAAGAGGTGCCGATTTTTATCTATAAAAAAGTGTAAGTAAAAGGAATGTTTTTTTTTTTGTAAATTTTATATAAGACAAAGTTATTAAAAAGTTTGTGGCGTTTGGGGAACAAAAAAGCAAGAATATTGAAATTTAATTGAATACATCATGTTTGTACTCAAAATTTTTCGAGATGTTTCCTATAAATTCCAAACTTTTTATTAATATTATTATATTCAGAGAGTCAAAATCCAGAGGTTGCTACAAAACTAGAAATCAGATAAATTGAAAACAATCACATGGAAATGAGGGAAAGAAGTCAAATAAAAATAAAAATACTTGACTTTAAAGAAGTTTAATATACATACATCACTGTATTAGTCGACAATTTTAGAATATTATCAACTTAACAATTAAATGCAAGTAGGTCAGCACTCAGCAATATTAATAATAATTTACATTATGTTAAATTGACTGCTCAACAAAATATTTAACGGTTTCCAAAATATAAAAAATTTCAAAATATTATTCAAAGTCAGAAAAAATCATAAAATTTTGTCTGGAAATCAGGGAAAAGTTATTTTAGGATGAGGACTTGAGGATGACATCCTAAAATGTATAAAAAACACTGTTCTTCCTATTTGTTCTTTTTGACCAAAAATCGGCCTTTTTAAAATATCCTAATGCCCGTTTCTGCCAATGTGGATTAATCTCGGTTCAACTTACTCTTTACCTTTTTCTCTTATTTTTAAAACTAGGAAAAGATGAAGAATTAGTTGAACCGAGATATTAAAGTTAAACTGCTTTGGTAGAAACAGGCATTAATCTCTCTTACATTGATGGAACCAGGCTTCTGTCTCTCGCGACGTTTTGCGCGTCAGAGCGGGCGCGCGCGCGCGCGCGCGCGAGAGAGGAATCGCGTGCAATCGCGTGCACATTGGCGTAAGTGTGCATGCGTTCGAGCGTCACGACTATGTCTCCCCACCCGTGCCCGCCGCGCACGACTCACGAGACCGCGATCTCGCGAGGATACGCGATTCCGCGGGAATGCGTGTATACGGGGTGTACGCCGCGCGCCGCGCTTTCTCCGTAGATTCTACGCCGGATAACGGCGGATTTTTCTTCACCGAAGCTTCGACAGGTCGTTTGACATTCCGTTAGCAGCCGGTTTCGCATTCGATTTAGTTATTCGATATCCTCGATCGCGATGAAATGAACCATACAGTTTTACCAGAAAAAGATGTAAAATTAAGTTTACTTATATATATGAGACACAGTCGGTTCTTACTTTACAAGATCGTTTTCAAGCGTCTTAAGATGCAAATACGGCTCTGGCCGGTATTCATAGTCTTATCTTATACTTAAGACCGTCTTAAGTACAGTCTTATGATGTCATGAACCAATCAGAGGGCCGCATTAGTGACTTAAGACATTACTTAAGACGATCTTAAAATAAGAGCTGACTACGAATACCGGCCTCCGATTGGTTCAGGTGACATCTTAAAATTGTACTTAAGACAGTCGTAAATATAAAGACCGCAGCACAAACTTTTGTATAACGAATAGCGCATAAAAGAATCAACTCAATCAACCAATGAAAGTTCCTTTCTTCCGTGAAATGGAAGGAAAGGAAGGATTCTGATTGGTCGATTCTCTTATTATGCGTTATGCGAAAGTTTGTATCACAGCCTTAAGAAACGATTATGAATACCGATCATAAAGTCAGTTCTCGATTCTTGTTGCACTTTTTGCATTCAGTATCTTTGCTTTCTTTCTCTTCGACACTCCATTATATATTTATTTCATTTTTGGAGATTTCAAGCGCGAATAAACCTATAAATATTACCATTTATCTCACGAATTTCCTTAGAATTTAATTCATGGAAACCCACCTAACTGACAATTAGCTTGCGGCGCGAAAGAAAAGACTATTGACGCGTGGATAGGATACAGGAATAGTAATATCGCGGTTGCCAATCTCTGGCATATCTAACGCCTGTCGTGCAGAGAAAGTGCGCGACTTCCTAGACATCCTGTATACGTTCGCGCGCATAGCTCGCGTGCTTCGCAAATCGTCGCTCCGTGTGAACGCACCTTTTCGCATTCGCATACTTTCCGCAAGCGAGCGCGAGCTCTCACTCGACGGATTTTTTTTTTTCCAGGAAGATATCGCGAATAATGTTTTTTACAATGATTTTTTTCTTTTTTTTTTCCCCCGGTCATGTTGACGGGCGAACTGACAGCTAGACGCCACGTTTGGCATCGTGTGAACGCTGCTGAAATGATAAAGTATGCATACGCGTGCATACACATACGTGCACCTATATCGCATTCTCGTATCGAGGCTGCATATTTGCACATAACACGTACGCCAATCGCGAGAGAAATTGATAACTAATTTAATAGGCAGAATCTTCTAATCCAGAACTTGCGTTTATAATCGCAATTACGTCATTTTTTTTCTAATTATCTGAGGCCCGATTCCGCAAATGTAAGATTAACTTTATAATCTTGATTTAACTAAGAATTAGAAAAAGGTATTATAGATAGTAAGTTAAATCAAGATTAAAATTAATCTAACATTTGTGTGTGAAACCGGGCCTCTAATATTCTTTAAAATTTTTAGAGTGAATTTTATTTAAAAAATATTTTGCTTTTTTAGCTAGTATTTATAGTCAATTCTTATTTCAAGATCGTTTTATGTATCTTGAGATGCTAATACAGGTCTCTAATTGAGGAGCAGACTTTCAAAATGCATTTTGTCCAAAATTCCATTTTTTTAGTTAGAGATGGCGTAGTGTTCAGTGTTGAAAAACTCATATAAGCTATTTTGAGATGTTCAGGAAGCATTTTTTCATCGTTAATCTATATGCTAAAAAAGTATAGACATTTCGAAGTGCATTATGTTTTTTAACTAGAGACAAACAAAATGCATTTGTTTAACATTTTTAGCAATTGTTTAGCAATTTGGTTTAATATTTCACATCCTACTGATTGGCATATTATTATTTTCTGTAAAGCGCATAATTTTCTTGCGTGCAGAGTTTTTCTTTCTCGTTTTCTGAAAATTACAAACTTTAGACAAAACGCATTTTGAAAGTCTGCTCCTTAATTGGTTTATAACATTTTAAGATTGTATTTAAAACAGTCTTAAATATAAAAATACTATGAGCCGCTCTTTTGGAAGATTGACTCAATTTTCACTCTTTAGAGTGAAATATATTCTACTTCAAAGAATTTAGAAAGTAATAATCGCGACATATCATCGATTTTTACGCATACGGAGAATCGAAAATCTCTTAATGCGTTGGACAATTTTTAAAACTTACAAGAAATAGAAAGGATAAACAGTGCCCTAAAATTTGCACTCAAAGAAATAAAAAATCTATTACAGTCATAAATTTTACATACCACGTGCAAAAAATTATTTCTAGAAAAATTTACAACATTACGTTGTATTCATTTGACGAAATTATTCCAGGAATTTTGTCAGATGAAGAAAGTATTATATAAAGACTACGAGCCAATAAACAATTTATTAAATATCTGTTTATTTAGACAAACGTTTCTCTTTATCGGGTCATCATCAGTGTTAGTAGTTAAAATGCAAACCGGGCCATCACTCTCAAATTCCGCATGTATGTGTGTAACATTATTTCTTCAGAATCATTTAGATTAGTCCATTCAGTATAATATATATTATTGTGTAATTGTAGAAGTAAGGAAATTGCAGAAAAAATATGTACTCCGTTCATCTCAAATCCAGTAAAATATAATTTCCGTAGTTACAAAGCAACCATTTATTTTAAATTAAACAGTTGATACAGCAAAATGCGATTTCTGGTTACACTTTAAAAACGAAGAAACCAAAAATATATTATATGTGAGTCTATTATTAGTCAAACTTTAAAACGTTAAAATCGAAGAAAAGAGAAGTTTCTTATCCGTGTGTCACTAATGAAGTTTCAATATTATATCCATTTTGTCAGATGTTTCAACATCTATGGGACATTTTTTAAACAGACAACACGATACAGATTTTTCATTTACGAAGGATAACGAATGGTCTCAACATTGGATGATTACGCGTTATCATTTGAACGATAATGTCCTAGAAAAATCTGTGTACTAAATTAATTGTGGATTAGTGCAAAGCTGCTTATCATTAAAAAAGAGTATTCTGTTCCCAGATACTGTTCCCAGATACAGTATTCTGTTCCCAGATACTGTTATCAATTTTTTAACCGATAGTCGCATACCAGCGGCATACTTCATTTACGAGAATTCCAGGTGCGTTTTCCTTCTTTGCGTATATCACGTCATTGAGATAGAGATTCGCGCAAATTTACAAGTTCTCCGTGTAATTTTATTACATCTATACGCGATCGTACATTCGTCACGAGCCACAAGATTCCGTTGCCTATCCATGAAAATCTATATATGTGATATAGACGCGGATCGAATAATGATACGAATGATACGTCATAAATCTAAGCTTTGCGTTACAATTTTTTAAATTATTATAGGAATGAGAATTCCTTTTTTATTGTATTTATCTTTTTTTATGCAAGGCAATATAACGAGCGAGACAAATGTAAATGAATACAACAGTAAAAGAACTTACAAATTCTACCGTTGTAAATATTAAATAGCGTATAATAGTCTCATTATTGCATTATCTATACTTCCAAATAACAAGAACATATGACTACTTGAGGAAATATTTTATCTACCGATTATTTTATCTAAACTCGTTGAAACTATTTACCCAAGACGCATTTCCTTGTCGTCAAATATAATTTTC